ATTATATGAATGTAGCCCTGTCGGCATGGTCAATTTCCACAGTTATTTTTTTTTTAATTTCAAATTCTTTTGCGGATTTCATAATTTGTATGACATCCATTGAATGATTTTTATTAATTTTATTCATATCATAGGTAGGTAATGAAGTAAACCTACCCATCAATTGCAAAATTTGTTAAAAAATCAGTAATAGTAAATGGTACGACTTTTCAACTTTATACACAGCAATTCCCCACGATAAATTAAAATCCAGACTTTTTGATATCACTGACAGCTGCTTCTTCAACAAAAATGGAACTCGTAAGTTTACTTACCTCGTCATTGGTCATTTGAAAAACTATTTTGTTAAAACAGATTCTGATTGCACACATAAGTTCTCTGAAGTTGACACCAAGAAGATGCTTGAGTTTCTGATTGACAATATCTATGTGGTTTTTGAAGACCGGGTATTCCAACAATCTATTGGAATTCCTATGGGTACAAATTGCGTTCCGTTATTAGCAGACTTATTTTTATATTCATATGAAGCAGAATTTATGCAAAATCTTTTGCGTGAAAAGAAGAAAACACTTGCTGTGGCCTTCAACTCGACATTTAGATATATCGACGACGTATTGTCAATTAAAAATGATTATTTCCATTCCTACGTCGACACGATATATCCTGGTGAGCTTGAGATAAAAGATACCACCGAGTCCGAAACTTCTGCTTCATACTTGGATATTTTACTTGAAAAAGACAATATTGGTAATCTAACTACCAAGCTATATGCTCAAGAGGGACGTTAAACAATATACAACCAACCAACCAACCAAGCTATATGATAAACCTAATGACTTTATCTTTTTTATCGTCAACTTCCCTTACTTATGCAGCAATATACCTTTATCACCTGCATACGGAGTATTTATATCTCAGTTGATTCGATACGCAAGAGCATGCTCTACTTATGACCAATTTCTTAAACGATGTAAATTATTGACAAGCAAGTTGCTGAAACAAGAATATCAACAATCTCGTTTAAAGTCATCATAAGTTTTTATGGTCGATACAATGACTTTGTCAGCAAATACAATTTATCATTGAATGAAATGCTGACTGACGTTTTTCATACCAATTGTTAGTCGATTATTTATACACTGAATTGACCACGGATTTTTTCCGTTATTTCCTGATTATGACAACGAGCACACGGCAGGTGTGACCGGTCGGCAGGGGATGCTCACTCCTCCATGACACCTGATCCCACCTCTTACATGTATGTTTTGGGGGGTCCGTGTTTGCTCTGCTCTTGTTTTGTATATTTGTTTTATGGACGTTGAGATTGAATACCGTTCGTTATTTCCACATCCTTCTTATAACATTTTTATATCTATAATTCCTAATTTTAGTAATTTTAGTTATAAATCATTAAAGTTCCTTTAAGGTAATTCCACACTCCTATGATGTCATAGGTTTTTGCAAAAACTGTAATTAATTTAAATTTGTACCTTATAGAGAAATATCTCTTGGAAGAATGCTTTACAATAGGTGTAATGAAAAATATTGTTTAGTTAAAGAATTCAAAAAATGCATATTTTCTATATTTAATCAATTATTCAATCTTTAAATAATGTTTACAAGGGCAATAACTCCTTCTAAGGTCTCTTCATTCAGGCATTTGCTTTTCTGTAAAATAGTTTACCTGATATTCACAATTCAAAAGTATCTTTTAGGTAGGAAGTATTTAGGATCACTCAGCATCAGAATTATGCATATTAACCAGTTTTTACATATTTTTCTCAATACTTTTAACAAAAAATGTACAATTTTTTGATGTTGACATACAGTTCTGTTTATTTATGTTTTGCATCTTAAATAATATGGTGACCTATACATTTTTTGCAATAAATGGAACGTTTTAAGTATATTGAATGAAAATATATGCAGTTTTTGTACTTTGAACACATAAAATTGTGAGTGTGGAAATTCCTTAAAACAATAAATACACTTCATTTTCAATAATGTGTGAAATATTGTGCAATGGAAATTCTAGTGGACCCTATTAAAATAACGTATTTATTTAATGGATGAAGATATTGTACAGTGATCAACCTCATAAAATTTACAGTTTCAACACAGTGTGAACAGAACACTTAAGATCGTGATCCACATTATGGCTGTGTGATTGCCAGGGAAAAGCCATCAAGTGAACAATGATTTTAAATGCACTTGTATTTGTATTCACAAAATGAAGTTAATTTGGTTCCCCAACTATATGAATTTAATGGATTTCTTGTATAGATATAACGAATTAAAGATATAGCGAAGCGATTTTATAGGTCCATGTGACTTCATTATAACCGAGTTTTACAGTATATGTTTCAAATTCCAATTGTTTTGACAAAATTGATAACTACCATGTTTTACGAATTTCTGATTTTACAACACGAGTACTTTACATGCATGGGTGAATTTACTGACAACAACTCAGAACTCGACTTTCAGTAATTAATTTTTCAAGATTTTTTTTGCATTTTCATTACATAAAAAACCTTGATCAAGGTATTTTAAATACCTTGATAAAGCTTTATAGCTTTATCAAGCTATATACCTTTATCGGGGTATTGTGCTGGACTTGGAGGAGGTTCAATAGTTGAATAATCTGTCATTTCTCCAAATGTTTCGACACTCCATTCTTCAAAAAGGGGAGGTACCAGAGTTTATTACCAACGCACCATATTTCAATATAAACCTAGATAGCTTAATAGTAAAGCGCTCTGAAAAGAGAGATTTGGGTGCCATTCCCATTCTGGGTTGAAAAATAAATAAATTAAATTTCAAATTTAAATTAGAATTACTTTTATCCACAAGTGTTTAATTCTTCAATCACTTAGTTTACAAAGTATTAACATGATTAGGCCTAAAACAAAAACATACCTTGAAAAAGTTTTAACCCCCACTTAGTGTTTCTTTTAGTAGCAAGGGATTGCTTTTTGTCCTGCAATTGTTTCAGTTCCATTTCTGTAACATTTTAAAATCTTTTTTTTGAATCTTGGAATTTTGGGACAGCAAAATTTTCTTTCTCTTCTGGCTGAAATGCTTGTTTCATTTCTTGCTCTGATTCTTCTATAGATGTAGAGGCCAGAACATCAATAGAAACCTCACTGCAGGAAAATTCACCCTCAGTACTAAATATTTGCTCTAATATTTCCTAATCTTCATTGGTTCACTTAACAGTTATATGGGTGTGTCTTCATTGGTTTTTGTTCCGCACACAAAAAGAAACTATTCAAAACCCACGTGCTGTTTACAATCGTTATATTTAAATTTTCTAGGCCTTGCTTCATTTTTTCCCCACTGTAATCTTTTGTCGCCTTTTTGAATATTATTTTTTCACATTTCGATACATACAGAAAATACAACCATAGTCATGTATATCAGAGACGAACCTTGTCTTTGAAGACAGATTTAATCACAATTTTCATCAAATTTTTATTTGATATTAGACAGCCATACCCACTCCTGCTGACTAGGGCCTTTTCATCTTAACACAATCGTTTTTCAAACATGTAGATATCACGATTATTGTTACAAGGGTATTCATAGGAGTCAGAACCAGGGGGGGGGGGGTTAGCCCCCACTTTTATTGCAAATATATACATAATATATACGCATTGAAATTAGGGTTTACTTTTTTATTGTCGGTTTAGCCCCCCCCCCCCCCCCCCCAACTTTCAATTTGCTTCCGACGCCTATGGTATTCATTGGTTCAGTAACTTTAATATCTTCACCATACCATTTCCCCAGTAAATCAATTTGAGGTATTTCATATAATCCCCGTGCAAACCTGAATGGGTTGGGAGTCCATTCTGAAACCGCGTGTGTTCGATATTGATTGCGGGCTCGATATGTACAACGGGTGGTCAAGTTGAGCCTTATATATGACACATCCGTGGGAGGAGTTTATGTTTAATCCATGCATTTGATAGGCTGAGGTTCTGTTCTAAGTCAGTAAGATCATATAAAGAGAAATCTTCGTCAAGAAGAATGGGCTCCGCTTCGCTCCGCCCATTCTTCATGACGAAGATTTCTCTTCATATGATCTTACTATTATTATTGTTTTACAAACAGCGTGACAGTTTGCTAGATGGGGCGTGCTAAAATTTTGTGAGCTGATTTTCTTTTTAATCAGTGATTGGATGCTTTATTTCAATGGAATCAATACTAATTTGCATATGAAACTCAAAGTACAACAATATCCTGAGAATACTGGCCAATCACATTGAATGATTGTTCACCAGTGCGGCATTTGTACTCACCAGCAACACGTGATCAGTCAAAGCCCGTTCTCTGTCCTCAAAAAAGCATGTATTATATTTGCTATGATTTGACCGGATGGTTTTAAATGCGTACAAGAAAACTCGAACAATAGAATTCGTAAGGCTACTCTGCTGCTGTTGTACAATGCAGCTACCAATATCATCATTGTAGGTTGTAAAACTTGCTTTGTCCATCCACGTGTAACTGTGTTTACTGAATATTAGTAAAAATGTGATTCAATACGATTGGTCAGTATTGTCTGTGGTATTGTTGGGTTCTCTGTTTCATATGCAAATTATTTTTGATTCCATTGAAATCAAATATCCAATCGATGAGTAAAATGATTATCAGCATACAAAAGTTAAGCACGCCCTACAAAGCAAACTGTCACGCTGTTTGTAAAACAATAATACCTAGATAACACGCAAGTTATTAATTCTATAGTGCAATCTTTTTTCCATTCAACATCTTTTCCCATATTTTATCAATTTTGTTAAAAATAGATCTATAAATGAAAAACTTCATTTCGCTTGTGAAATGGGGCCCCGTAAAGGGTAAAGATTTCAAAGTACGACTGAAGAAGTTAAACGTTTTATTAAAAGGAGAAACTAAAAATAAATATTTATGATGAACACGAAATTATTTTTTTAGCTGTTTCACTGCAAATTTGAACAAGATTTTCGTGTGTTTAGTTATGAATCTACGAAGTCTGTTGTCAGTGAAACTGCACACGGCCCGCATTCAAGTATAAAGGAAAGTGTGGATTTGGGTACACCTGTGAGAAATGAGACCTCAAAGTTGTGTAATGCTACGCCTTCTGTTCATTTCAACCCCGGATTATCTTCAACTCCTGGATTATCACATAATTGCTATTTGCCCCAAATTATAGCAGAGAGGGACTCATTACACAAGTAAGTTTACCATTTGTTTACACTCACTCACAGTCAGTGTTTTATTTCATTTTACAATAGAACTATATCATATCATTAAAAGAATTATTACTTACAAGCATCATACTATTTAACATGTATAAATTATTTAGAAGGCATGGCGAATATTTTTATCTTCTGTACTTCAGACACAAATAAGTGTAAGCTGTTTAAACATAAATTGAATAAATAGTAAATATTTTTACAAGACCCTCAAATCATGTTGACTTTACATGAGGAAGGGGAGGGGAAGGGGTAAGAAATAAGTCAAATATAACACTGCATATATATAATGTAAAACAAAAATTGTATCCAGGTCAAAGAATGAATGCTGCATTATATGACTATGGCTGCCATACTTTTAGAATATTTTTTAAAAATAAGATTTTTTACAAAAGTTTATGAGAAAAGTTAGATAATATGAATAATTTTTAAAGGGAGTCTTTTGACTGCATGTCTGGAATAGAAGTGTTGGAATCATCGGATTTGGGATCAAATGTTGACACCTTTACTAATGAAGGTGTATAGAAACCCTACCTGGGCAGTAGTTTTGTGGATCCATTTTCGTGAGTTGTAATTTTAGTACAACAATATTATTTATTTGATTCAATTTTTATGTGAGTGAAACATTGAATTATTATATTTTGAAAGAAGTATTAGTTATGTAATTCAATGATTTCCTTTTATTTTTAGATAAATAAGAACACTAATTTAGCTGTTTTGATTTCATAATCTTATCATATATACATGTCATATTTAGAATCACAATTGATGCATCTGAAATTTGTAATCAAGATGAAGATTCATCAGATGAAGATTATCAACCCAGCATTACAATTAATTTGAGGTAAAAGTCCTATAATGTAATTCACTTTTTCCACATAACTCAAAGCATAAGACATTGTTAAATTTATGATGATCTCCTGATCCCTAATACGCAAGTTTCGAGATTATCTCCCTTGATGCGTTCTTTCCTTGAGGAGGGGAGTTTCATTGCTGCGTTAACAAACAGTAGAACAGCTCGACAGATTTTTATATACTGGATACATTGCATCATCAATATACTGGTTTATCAATTAACTACATGATTGTCAGGATGCACTCTTTGCCTCGAGAATAACCGAATTAATGTAAAGGGGTCATTTCTAAAGGGGAAAAAAATGGAACAAAAAAGAAAATATCAACAGTGGATTTGATACTTTTAAGACGAGGGAAGAGATATGGACCTCTAATATAAATAAATATACATTTTTTTTTCAATGGGTGGCACTGTAGCTCTCCGGTCTGTCAATGTATTTTTTTCGGAGAGCTATAGTTTTGCAGCTATACTTTTTGCACCTCTATCTTAGGAGAGTTACAATCTCGAAACTTGCTTATTACTGTAATTATTTATGGGCCTAGCCCATTATGCATATTATCTTGCATTTTCACTATCCTTGATGCCCTTGCATACTACACTAACTAACTCACAGAATGAAATCCCACCACTCAGTCGACTGAATGTAGGCTGAAAGGTGACTGAATTGTTATGGAATGGTCACTGATGAAGTACTTTTCCATTAGCATTCAGTGACCATTCAGCTATCATTCAGTCAACTGAATGGCAGGAACATTTCAGTGACCTTTCGGCCAACTTTCAGTGACCTTTCAGCCAACTTTTAGTGACATTCAGCCAACGTTCAGCTACCTTTTAGCCAACTTTCAGTGACCTTTCAGCCAACTTTCAGTGACCTTTCAGCCAACTTTCAGTGACCTTTCAGCCAACTTTCAGTGACCTTTTAGCCAACTTTCAGTGACCTTTCAGCCAACTTTCAGTGACCTTTCAGCCAACTTTCAGTGACCTTTTAGCCAACTTTCAGTGACTTTTCAGCCAACTTTCAGTGACCTTTTAGCCAACTTTCAGTGACCTTTCAGCCAACTTTCAGTGACCATTTAGCCAACTTTCAGTGACCATTCAGCCAACTTTCAATGACCTTTCAGAGATCATTCCGCCAACTTTCAGTGACCTATCTGTCAACTTTCAATGACCATTCAGCCAACTTTCAATGACCTTTCAGAGATCATTCCGCCAACTTTCAGTGACCTATCTGTCAACTTTCAATGACCATTCAGCCAACTTTCAGTGACCATTCCACCAACTTTCAGTGACTATTCGGGCAACTATCTGCGACCATTCAGATGTTTTCAACTCAATTTTTTTTATGAGTGAGGGGGGGGGGGTGAAAACTAAGTCATTTTTTTTTGCAACCATTTGGTTTCTCTACAATGATCATACAGTCCTCAGTAATGGATGTTTCATCAATAGTATAGAGGCAACTAAAGCTTTTTCCTCCTTCATCTTTTTTAAGAATCATATACAGTGGACCCTCAGTTATCCGGACGCTTTGGTTCCCGGTCAATTTGTCCGGATATGTGAATCATCCGGATATGTGAATCACCAGTTAAACAAGACAGAATACCATTTAAGAATTTCGTTCCAATGAAAAATCGTCCGGATACTGAAGCGTCCGGATATCTAGCGTCCGGATATCTGAAGGTCCACTGTACTGGTTTCAAAGCAAAATTTAAGTAATATTTAACCATATATTCTGATTTATTGAATAACGCATGAGATTATATGAGTGCATTATATACTTTAGAGGCTATTTCAGTGAAAACTAATTTCCCCTTTACTATCATTCCATTTTTTCATATAAACAGCAGACACTTTGGCTCTATTACGTAACTCAATAAATTTCTAGTATCACAACAAAAAAAATGATATGAATGATATTTTATTTTGTTCCTGCATAAGTTATATAAACTGTGCAATGTTTTTGATATAATATTTCATGAACAAACCAATACTCAATTCTTATATTTCATTTGTATGATCTTTACAACACGTTTAAATAAATAAAATAAATATTGAAATAAATAAGATAAATACATAACTATCACTACACTGAAGACGAAAAACAACACATCTTATCATGCCAAATTTTAAACAGGGCAAATGTATTTATTTCACTTATTTCCTTAAATTATAACAAATGTTCAATGATTAATCTTGATATTTTGTGAAACACTGTTAATAAAAAAAATAATAAAGAAAAAACAATTAAATTAAAGTACAAAAATAAGTTGAATTATTCATGTTTTGGAGTAGCACTATGACGAGATAGTTCATCAAGAAATCTTGACTTCTACTCCAAAAGCATGCTAGACTATCAAAAAAAATTATTTATAACTTTTTGAAAAAACATCAATTATTTTGCACACAATTTCTACCATATGATTTTCAACATCCCTCCTTCTCCTTCCTCAAAATAAAGCCGGGGCAGCCTTGCGGTGCAGGCCTCATGGAGGGCAATTCCGCCACTCGTCTCTTCTTTACCTGTCGTAGGTGTTGAGGAGGGAGTTTGGATTTGTGGACCTCCTCTAAATTGTCTTTCACTTTTTGGAATGCCTCTGTCTGCCAAGGGAGGCACCTGACTTTGAAGGAAACAAAAACACCTTCACTGTCAACGTCTGACTCCTCCGACGACATGTACTCTGGGCTTAGTACACTGGCAAGCGTCATCTTGTCCAGTCCTTCCAGCTTGTCGTCTTTTGCTGTCTTCAGCGACTGCTTGAGTCTGCCTGCTCTCTAAAATAAGAAATTATGACATTTTTGAACTTAACAATATGCATGCTTTTAATGAAATCAAAGAGCGAAAGGCAATTAAAATTGATTCGATATAACATTTGATATAAATGAAATTGTTGGTAGCATCTGTAAAACACTATAGTACCCAAATGTACGATATTATGCTTAAAGTACTTTAATCTCCATTATTCTTTAACTTAAGAATGTTTTGAAAACTTCAATGATGCAAGATAAATATGAAGATGAAATCAGATTTGTGCAACAATTTTACACTTACACCAGAATACTTTTGAACTATCTAATTGATTTCCTTAAGAAAAAATTGTCTACTTCAGTATACCTAGATACTACAACTTCTTTACCACAGCTCTGACAACTTTAACTGTTTAATCTTTCTGCACTAAACTAATGTCAACAAATATTGCACAAGCAAACCTCCAAACTCAGAACTTAAGTACTTATGTCTTTGTCATTCAGGTATGTTACTGTCCAAGTTAGTAGACTAGTAATTACTCTTTCCCTTCTTATTCTAGCAAATTACTTGCAATAAATTAATTAAATTACCCCAATAGTATAAACAAAATTAATTTGTACCTAGCTCTTTTGTTTAAAGAAAATAAATTATACCATGCTGCAGCTGACAGACATAAAAATTTGCTACCGCTTTGTCTTTGTAAATCAATTAATGTTTCAACTCAATTAATAAAATACTATCCAATATTAAACTTGATATGAAAACATGACACAAGTATTTCAGGATGGAAACAAATGTACCATTCAGTCAGGTGTCAAAAGTTCTAAGACAAATTCAGAATGTGTTTACATGTAAACAAGGATAAAAAACACACAAGTTATAAACAGAGAGACTAATATTGTAACTGTTGGCCAAATCCATCTGACTCCAACCACTGTTCAGCAGAATCACTATATTTTTGTGTCCTGTTACACACAAAGTAAATTCGGGATGGATTTTTCTGCTTATAACTCAGGAATATAACCGAAGTTTAACACTTGTATTGTTAATTGACATAATAAAGTCACAGAGCTATACATGTAGCTCTTAAAATAAAGTAAGAACGAAAAATATTCACACAATTGCCTCACATAAAACAGCCATGCTTGTTTTCTCAGTTCACTTCACGTGTTGTTATTTGTTATTGTCAATCAGGGCCGCTTCCGGTAGGTTACTTCAGGTTAGGCTCCTAGTGAGTATGGACGTCTTCCATTTCGTTCCGGTAGGTGGTTTCGTCATCCTCTCGAGTCCCGAAGTGGGCGCCATTTCTGTTACGGTTTCCCAATAGTAGAAACAACTATCGTGGTAGTAACAGATGAATTTATTCATATACAAACAACAGCAGGATCATTTATATGATATCAGAACCATGTCGTCACTGTTCAGTGTAATCAGTCATCATCGGTGAAGACGGATGTATGCAAGACAGAACTTGGATTGATTGATTGTATATTGTTGAACGCCGAGTCGACAGGACTTGGAAGCAAAAATATTAACATCATACTTCGTTTAATGAAGGAATCCATTAGCATTATTCTGTGGTTTTAATGATGATTTACTCTAATATTTAAGAATAAAGTTTCATTTATTACCTCAAATGTTGTCATGTTGGTAGATCCATAGCAAAGCTGGTTGTTTAAGTCATTAGATGGCTGTGTACACTTTAAAGTATATACAGCTCCTACTTCAACTTTCTCTTCTTCCTCCTTACCCCACATAGCCATTTGCACCTCACGTCGTTGAGAACCATTTTATTTCTCCAACCTAAATGTTGAAAAAATCTGTATCATACACATTATTTAAGAGTGCAAAACATACACAGAGATAGAGAGAGAGATTAACTTACACATTTTACTAGCATGGGAGCAAGGGACATCCTCGTGCCATTTGGAAGTGAAGATGCCTCTATTAACGAATATGTCTTTGGGTTTATGTACATTTCAATGGTTCTTTGCTCCTCTTCGCTCAGAACAAAGAAGGTGTCCATAATCTATATGGAAAATGTGAAATAAGTTTTAAGAGTTGTCCTGAATTTATTGATTGTTTCGGAATACTTGCTATTGTAACGCCGTCGAGCGGTAAACGGCGCTATTTAAATAATCCAAGTGTGATATAACTCCAGTTTTATTAATAATCCATGTGAATTTAATTCTCCAACCTCTAAAGCATACGCTTTAGGTTAAATGAAACGCAAAATAAAATTATTTACAGTTTATTTACATCACAAATAAATCCAAGTTTCGCACATT